GAGGAGTCAGCGGCTGGGCCGCAGGGAGGGGGTCGGCGGGGGGAGGCAGGCGAAGCGCAGGGACGAGGGCGCCGCGGAGTCTCCGGGGTCTGAGGGTCTGACCATCTAAACGCAGGGCACGGGAGAGTTTAGCGTGGGGGAGGCCATGAGAGCCTGCGGACCGAAGAGTGACCGGAAATAGAGAGGGACTGGGAGTCTGGGGGGAAGGTCTTCTGGTGTGAAGGGCCTGAGGGAGCGTGGACACGGGTTGGTGGGCAGTGGCTGAAAAGGAGCGTGGACTAGTAGGTGTGAAGTGTCTTAAAGGGGTGTACACAGGCCCGTAGGGGGTAACTGGCAAGGAGTGTGGATAGGTGGGTGTGAAGTGTCTTAAAAGGAGTGTGGGGAAGTTGGTGTGAAGTGTCTTAAAGAGGTGGATAGGTCAGTGGGGAGTGATTGGAAAGGAGCGTGGACAAGGCAGTGGGGAGTGACTTAGAGGACGGTCAGTGGAGGAGAGGGAGGGTCGGGGGAAGGAGCGTGGTGTGGAAAAGCAGACCTAGGGGCTTGGAATTGGGGGAAGGAGACACGGAAGTGGCTGGAGGAGGACAGGGCCCCAGCGGGGGTGGTGGAAGTGGACGGAAGGGAGTTGGGCTGAAGGCGGTGACACTGAGGGCTTGTAGCAAGTGGAAGTGCTGGTGGCTCAGGAAGGTCGGGGAGTGGAGGAGGACGAGGACGAGGAGGAGGAGGGTGGTTGAGGGGTGCGGGTTACGCGCAGGAATGAGGGACCGGAGGCTGGTGAGGTTGGCCCTGCTGCAGCATCTCCGAGCCGCCTATGGCATAAAGATCAAAGGCGGTCGAGGGCAGTTGGATTTCGGCCGGCAAGAGTCAACAGCTGTAGCCATTGGGGTAAGTCCAGGGGAAGAGGACTGAGGGAGGAAATCTGAAGGCTAGTAAGAGAGACTGTAAACCAAACAGGTGAAAGTGGAGCATTAGTTTTGTCCAGAAAAGAGGACAAAATGATAAAGTTTATATGGCGCTAACCATGTGCCAGGCACTGTGGTAAGTGCCTTACAATTATTATATCATTTGATCCTCACAACAATTCTGTAAGGTGGGTAGGGTGCTATTATCATCCCTGTTTTAGAGATGGGGAAACTGAGACAAGCGGTTAAGAAGTTAAGTTACTTGCCTGGGATCGCATAGCTAGCAAATGTTTGAGGCTGCATTTAAATTCAGGTCTTATTGACTTCAGGTCTAGCTTTCTGTCCACTGACCCATTTAGCTCCCTTTTTAAAGCTAGAAAGGAACTTAGGAACCATCTAGTCTAATTCACTGTTTTACTGGTGAGGAAACAGGTCCAGAGAGAGGTAAGTGACTTGCCCAGAATCACGTAACTATTCTCCGAGGTAGATTCTGAACCTGGGTCTTTCTGTCTCTTTTTACTAGCCCATCATGCTTCTCAATCTTACACATGGATCTAACATATAAGCCATATGTTTGTAAATCTCAAGATTTACAATTGGTTATAATTAACATTTATTTAATACCTTAAAGTTTGCAAATTGCTCCATATATCTGATTTTATCTGAACCTTACAGTAACACTTTGAGGTGTATACTACAGGATATAATAATACCTGTTTTTTCAGGTGAGAACCTGAGGCTCATACAGGTTAAGTCGGTATTATTTGTGATTATTTTCTAAGGCTTATGGGAGGTCAGGAAAGGTTATTCATTTAAAAAGAATGGTGTTTTCTGAATGGTTCAGTGGAAATTGTTAAATATGCAGGAGGAGTTTTGGTTAAGTATTAGAAGTGTGTGTGTGTGTGTGTGTGTGTGTGTTCGCGAGAGCGCACGTGTACTTACACATATAGTTGTGAGATTAATACACATTCTTTTATGTGGTCCTTTTGTGTATATTTGTTACAGCTACTTTTTAAGTGTATAATGGTTAATTGAAATCTTCTGATTATGCCCAAACATAATTTTTGCTATTGTCAGTTTTATATGTCATAAAACATTTTTAACTAGGTAGTTAAATTGACACTTTCTTGTTTCTACTGATGATTATTTACCAATATAATAGTCTCTTCAATTGTTTCAATCTCTTTCTACCCAAGATTTTATAGCTATGAGACAGTATTTTTCAAAGGTTTCAGGAAATTGAGGGAAAAGATTTAGGTACTTGGTGTGAGCCATGTGATATTTTTTGAGACAGCATTATGTTCTAAAAATGAATGAAGGAGACTAAATAAAATGATTGAAATATGGAGAAGGTCTTTGCATAACATAGCTCTTGATATTTTATACCACTCATGAAATTAAGGGATTATTTTCATATTTTAAAAATCATGTATCAAGCATCTATACTATGTTTTAGGTGCTGAAAAATACTTAAGATCTTGTCACTAGAGTAGAAACTGACTAATGGGCACATTGTATTGGACAAACAGCCATATAAAACATTACTTAAATATGAGAATGGACAGTTATGTTGTACATGAATTAAGGATGGATGTCTTTAAGGGATAGTGTAAATCAGGGTAAGTAGCTGTTGGAATTTGTTCAGAATGTAATTTGAGGTGAAATAGCTTATAACAATATTAAAATTTAACTTACATTTGCAATAACATTTCATACTGGTTCACATTAATATTTTCTAATACAAAAACTTGTAGGTTGCAGTTTATACAAATACATAGACTAATATATAAAAACTAATATTTGTATTCCAAAAATAGTTAACTTATTTGACAGTGTACTGGTTTTTCTGTCTTCCCCTCAATTTTAAAGTATTCTATTGAAGACATTGGATTAAATCTATGTAGTGTAAAGAACACTAGGCAGGTAGTCAGGACACTTGCAGCATTCAACTTTTATTGCTAGGCACTCCCATATCTATATTTTTAGCCCTAGCCTCCCTCCTCAATTCCAGCCTGAATCACCAGCTGCCTTTTAGACATTTCCAGGTGGGTGTCCCATAGGCATCTTAAGTTAAGCATTTCCAAAATAATACTCAATTGTCTTTCCCTAAAAACCCACCTCTCTCTGAAGTTTCTCTCTTTCTTTTGAGAAACAAATACATTCTAGTTTGTGAACTTGAAATCAGCTTTAACTTTTCATTCTCCCTCAACCCCCATACTCAATCACCTACAAAACATATTCCTAATCCTTCACTCCATAACCCTAGTTCAAACCCTCTTAACTTCTCACCTGGACTATTATAGTAGCTTCCTAATTGTTGTTTCTACCCTCTCTTATCCATCTTCCACTCAGCTACCAAATGATTGTTAAAGCATGGGTATGACTGTGTGGTTCCTTTGCTCAGAAAGATTGCTATCATGTTTAGGATCAAATACTACAACTGCCTTGTTTGACATTTGAAGTCCTTCAAAAACTGGCCTCCGCCAGCCTTTCCAGGTTTATTACACATTACGCTGCTTTTTATACTATGTGGTTAAAGTAAGCCTATTGTCTGACATTCCTTTGCTTCCATACCTTTGCAGAAGCTGTCCCTCAAGCCTAGAATACTCTTTTTCCACACCCCTGCCTCTTAAAAACCCCTAGTTTCAAAGTTGAGCTGAAATACAACTTACCATTTTCTAATTCCGCATCCCCCAGTTCCTAGTGCTTCCTCTCAGTTATTTTGTATATATTTACTTAGGTATATCTGTGTCTTCCCCTCTATTCTCCTCCTCTCCTCCTCTTCCCCATGAAATGTAATTTCCTTGAGTAGGGGTTGTTTCATTTTTGTCACTGTATGTTTCTCTGGAGCCTAGCACATAGTAAGTGTTTAATAGATGTTTGTTGTGTGAAAGAATTTCTCGAAGTGACCTCTTCAGCTCCCAGGGTTATTATCTTCATTCAGATGACTTGAGAGCCATTGTTTAAAAAGCTGGCCTTGAAGCCAGGAAGACCTGGGGTTCAAGTCTTGCCTTTGACTTCTTGTGTGATTTCCTCAAAAGTCACTTAACTATTCGGTGCTCTAGGCATTTAAGTACTATTTTTTGCGGAGAAGGTGCCAATCTGTGTTGATAGGGTAAGTGCCTTCATCTGGGAGTTCTCTATACCAGTGAAATCACAGGTCCTATCCCTAACCCTTAGTCTATGTAGATGACTTACAGGTCTATAGATCCAGCACCAGTTTCTCCCCTGAGCTTCTGTCCTGCATCACTATTTGCCTATTGGATATTTCAAACTCAATGGCCAAGATTTATCTCAGTTTCTGGATATTACAAACTTGTCCCAGAGATATCTCTTTCTTTTTTTCAAAAAAAAATTTTTTAGGCAGTTGGATTAAGTGACTTGCCCAGGGTCATACAGCTAGTGTCAAAGTGTTTAGTCTGAGTCTGGATTTGAACTCAGGTCCTCCTGACTTCAGGGCCAGTGCTAAACACTGCACCACCTAGCTGCCCCCCAGAGATATATCTCAAACAGGTCTAAAACATCTCATTATATTTCTCTCCAAACTTCCTTATTTCTGCCCAAGGCATTGCCATTCTTCTAGTCTCCCAGGTTCAGAACCTTCCTATTATCCTTAACTCCTCACTCGTCCTCACCCCGTATATCTAATCAGTTGCCAGTCTTCTTGTTTCTGTCTGACCCTTTCTTTCTATTCACACAGCCACCTCCTTAGTTCAAACCCTCATCACATTTAGATTGTTGAACTGGTCTCCTAATTGTTCTTCCTGCCTCAAACAATTTCCTCCTCTATTCTTATCTTAGATATTGCTGCCAAAGTGAGTTTCCTTTAGCTCAAATGTGACCTGTGAAATAAACTCCAGTGGTTCCCTAATTACCTCTTTAGGATAAAATAGAAACTCCTCTACTTAGCTTTTAAAGGCCTTTACAACCTATCTTTTCATCCTCCCCCCACCCCCCTACCCCATCCCTAATCCATACAGACTAGCCTTTCTGTGCCCCTCATGTACTAGATATCTCCTGTCTATTCCTTTGCAATTGACATCTCCACATGCCTGTAATTCACTCCATCCTCATCTCTGCCTCATAGAATCTCTTTTCCTTCAAGACTCAGCTAAAATATCACTTTCAACCTTCCTTGATTTTCCTTCCTCCCCCCAAAAACATGCTTATTTAACTATTTTGTATTTATTTATATTCTATGTATACTTCTCTCCCTCATTGGAACATAAGTTCCTTGAGAGTAGATGTTATTTTATTTGTATTTTTATCCCTAGTGCCAGGCATTATAGTAACAGCTTAATAAATGCTTATGGATTGATTTTGAAAAAAATATTGTAAATGCTCTTCTCCAATCCTAGTAATTGGATGTCTGTTCAATGAGTCATTTCCCTAAATGCCATGTAAGCTTATAGAAAATTTTTAAGCATTAATTCTTTTAATACTTAACACCTGCGTTATTATTTTTCTAGGATCTCAGAATTTGATTTCAGATTATTAGTAACTTTTTTTTTAATAATGTGCAGTTTATAAAACTCCCTATGAGTTATTGTGGAATTGTTGTCATTTTATAGTTGAGGTAATAGTCTTGAAAGAGGTGAAGTGACTTGTCAAAGGGCACATAACTAATAAATGAAGGTGATATGACTTGAAATCCAGAACTACTAAATCTTGGATACTTTTCACAGGTTGTTCTGATAAATACTCTTAGGAAAAAATTGTACTTCAAATAGTTAAGAAAGAAGGTAATTTTATTATAGAAATAGCAACTGTACAAGAAGTGGTTAATCAATTGGAATTTTTAAGGTTTACTTTTAATATTTCTTAGTCCTAGTCTCTTGGAACATTGTTAGAAAATAGTAATGACATTCATTGGCCACAAAAATTAATCTGTCTTTCCCTATTACTGCCAAGGAAGTACACAGATAATTTAATGTAAAATTTTTTTTGCTAATCACATGACTTGAATTTACTCAAGGTTAGTATTTGTCCTGTTATTAAGATTCCCTGTCACCAAAGTCTGTTGCCTTTTAGCTAATATAACTAATTATATCTCAGAGTATTAGTAAGTAGTGTAATTCTGTTTTTTATTGTTTTGTTTTGTTTACTCCTTACCTGAAATCACAATTTGTCTTCCTTTCTAAGTAACACACATTCTGTGCTTACACTTGTAAATTTTTATCTTGATGCTTATAACAAATGACTTTTATATTTTAGGGGAAAATATTTGGAGTACCTTTTTCTGCACTACCCCAGTCATTTGTACCAGAATATGGAAACATTCCAAGGTAAGCAAAGTATGAAATTAAACATAGGATGTAAACAGTGAATTGTGTGAATTTCAAGGTTCAAAAAATAGTAGATATTTCAAATACTGTTGTAGTAGTCATTCATGGACTTTATAATTCTACTCTGAAATCTCTACTTTAATGAAAATTCTTATAATATTGTGATGATACCCTTAGCACAGTGCCTGACAAATAATAGGTGTTCAATAAATGTTTATTGGATGAATGAGTGAGTATATTTGGGAAGAATTGTGGGATAAGATTAATTTTAAGTTGAGGTGCCCAAGCTTTTGTAAATAATGGTCACAAAATATTATTAAAATTTATTATGAGAATATTTAATAGTCTATTAAAAGCATTTCTAAATGCCCATGTGTTGAGGAAATGATGACAAAATTCATGTTAACAAATCCGTTTAGATACTATGACTCCTAATCTGTAGATTGATTTGTCATTTAGTTGTTTTCAGTCTTCAGTCTTTGTGACCTCTTTTGGGGTTTTCTTGGCAAAGATACTGGAGTGGTTTGCCATTTCCTTCTCCAGCTCATTTTATAGATCAGGAAACTGAGGCAAGCAGAGTTAAGTGACTTGCTCAGGATCACACAGCTAGGAAATGTCTGAGGCCAGATTTGAACTCAGAAAGATGAGTCTTCCTGACTGCAGGCCCAGTACTCTATCCATTGGACCACCTAGCTGCCCCTTTAATGTTGATACTACATATATTACCTACAGACTTCTATTGAGCACCCTTCTATTTGCATTATTTTGTTCTACATGTTGAAGTATTAAAAAAAAAAGTCATCTCTGTCTTCTGAAGAGTTGGACAAATAATGCTGGCAGAGAAATAAAGCTCCCACAGACAAGTAAATAAGGAAGTAAATTAAGTGAGATATTAATAGAACCTATAAATAATAATAAACTAATTTTTAAAAAATGTGATTTGTGTTTCCCCACATCTATCTCATTTTCAGACTTTCTTATTTTGATTGAATGCACAACCATTCTTCCCATTTTCCAGGTTTAGAGCCTCAGAGTCATCTTCCACTATCTTCTCTTTGAAATTCCCTACTCCCACATCCCCTCAATCCAGTTAGTTGCCAAGTCTTGTTGATTCAAGTCTTCCTGTTTTAAATGCATCATCCAAGCTGCTGCCAATTTGATGTTCCCAAAACAGGGGTCTGACCATGTCATCCCCCTACTCCAGAAGCTTCAGGAGATTCCTATGGCCTCTGGAATAAAATACAAAATCTTCAGCCTTGTATAAAACCTTTCATGGTCTGGCTCCCATCTACCTTTCCAGTCTTTTTGCTATTACTCCCCTTTATGGTATGTTCAATCTCCTTCCTCCATTCTTTTGCATAAACTGTTTCCCATTTATATAGTACATTCCCTCTTCACCTTTACCCCTTACAATCCCTAGCTTCTTCATTATATATACAAGGCCTTTCCTGACCTGTTTTTCTTCTTACCCTAGTTATTATTATCTACCTCTTAACACTGCTTTATACATACTTATCTGTGTGTATGCTGTACATGTTGAAGGGAAGGAATTTTTTGTCTTTGTTATCTGTGGTATTGAGGATGCCTTGCACATGAGAACTTAACAAATGTTGAATTGAATTGAATTGAATTAAAAGAGGTTACTGCATTTTATGGGATATTAAGTGCAGAAAGATTTGCTGGAGTATACGTGTGTGTGTATGTGTGTATGTATATATATATATATATATACATATATATATATAAAGTGGCTCTTAGGAGTATAGTAGGTTTTGAAGGTGCTGGAATGGGAGCAAAAGTTATACTAAAAGTAGCAGTTTTGGTATTGATAAAGAACAATGAATAGATTATAGAAAGGGGAAGTGATTTATAATTCAAAAGTCAAGTGTCAGAGTAGAATCTTCACAGCCTATTGATGTACCTTGACAAGCATATTCACTTAGTATGGTTTTTGTAAGATCAAATCTATTGATAAGACCTACCTTTTTCAGTTTTCTTGTTGATGCTTGCACATCTTTGGAAGAGCATGTTCATATTGAGGGGCTTTTTAGGAAATCTGGATCAGTTATCCGTCTAAAAGCACTGAAGGTAAGCATATTCCTTGACTAATTTTTTTGTTTCCCCAGTTGTCTAATTCTGTTTTTGTGGTTAAAGTTATCAGATATGACATGAATGTGCAAAGGGTTTATGATTTTCTAGCATGTGAACTCTAACATCACAACCCATATTACTTATTAAATAATTGCTATAGAGTTGTCTGTGAAGCACCTTGCACAGAGATAGTTATTGTCAGGGGAGGGATTTGAACCCAAGTCTTCTGACTCCCAAGCTCAGCATTATATCCACTCTGCCCCACTTCATCTTTTTGGTGTAAATGATTGGGAGAGATACAGTTGACAGGCTCTCCCCTCTGTGGAAAACATTTATAGCTTATATGAATCCAGTAACTAAAGAAATTAAATATTTTTGATTGTTTGCCAGGACTTCTGATGTTTTGTAATATATGACCAGAAGCAAATAAATAAGTTTACTAAGAAAAACTCCTTATCTAACTGAGATAGAAGCAGAGATTTTGATCAAAATGAGATCTTAAATCTGAAGGGTACTGAAGATTTGAAATTTATTTCAGAGCAAATTGGATCATGGTGAAAGCTGTCTGTCTTCTGCACCTCCTTGTGATATCGCAGGACTTCTTAAGCAATTTTTTAGGGAGTTGCCAGAGCCCATCCTTCCAGTTGATTTGCATGAAGCTCTTATCAAAGCTCAACAGTTGGAAACAGAGGAGAAGAATACTGCTACAATGTTGCTCTCTTGTCTTATGGCTGACAGTATAATTTATATATTACGATACTTTTTTAGCTTTCTCAGGAATGTTTCTCTTAGGTAAGTAAAGATCAAGTACAGAAAAATTTTAGCTAAGGAGAACCTTTAGGAATCAGTCATTCTAAATAGCTAGCCATTTGTAATTTTAAGCAACAGTACCTTTTTATTTCAACTATTTGGTATGGAAATATTTTTAAAAATTTATTTACATACTGCCTTATCTTCTCAAATGGAATATATTGAATACAATTTCATTTTTCTTCATCATTTTGAATGTTGTTATTGCTATACAATAATACAGTGATCCCCAGGGGCCTGCTGATGTGATGCAAGGCAGTTTACCCTAGAAGGTCTAACCTGTGGTGCCATTTGAATTCTTGTTTCTGTTGCTTTTTTTTTTTAAATCATTTTTCTACTTCTTTCCTTGCTATCACCTGTCATTTCTCACTGCTGTTATTGTGCCTACCTGTAAAAGTTCCTCTTACCCCTTCTGCTTGGCTGCTTCTAATGAGTCATGAGCTTTGAAACCAAATGCAGTGACCACGTTTCTTACTATTATGTGTTAAATAAGAGTAAGTACTGAGTGAGGATTTTGAGAGGCTTGGCTGTGAATAAAATATTAGTTTCAGATGAATGGACTTTATAAATTAATTTGACTATTTAGAAGCTTTTTTATTTACTGTTTCTTGGTTAAATTCCTGATAAGATTTAGTATTTGCTTTATACATAGCCAATAAAGTAAGGGTCCCTACAAATATACCTATTAGGTTATTGGAGTTGTTTCTCAGTTTGCATTTTGGCTACATTTAATAGTACATACTTTTTTTTTTTAAAGAGCCAGTGAGAATAAGATGGATAGCAGTAATCTTGCAGTAATATTTGCTCCAAACCTTTTACAATCAAGTGATGGACATGAAAAAATGTCGGCCAACACAGAAAAAAAACTTCGACTGCAAGCTGCAGTGGTAAAGACCCTTATTGATCATGCAGCTGATATTGGTAAGAAGAGGTGAAATGTCTTCTGTGCAGAATTTTTTTGGCTTGCCAGCTTCTCCCAAGTGACTGTTAAAACTTCTGACGCAGCATGATCTAGTGAAATAGCACTGGACTGAGTTAAAGGACTTAGGCTCAAGGAAAGCTCCCAGCTCTTTTGCTTGCTCCTTATGTGACCTTTGGCCAGTCATTTAACCACTCTGGATCTCAGTTTTATTATCCATAAAATTAAGTGGGTGGACCAAATGACTTCTGAAAGTTCCTTCCAGCTCAAATCTATGATTTATGATCCTGTTCTCTGACAGAAGTTTAGTATAGAATACCTTTATTTTTAAAACAACACAGTAAAAACAATATTGTCAATGCTGTCCTTTAGGGCGTGTGCCAGAGTTTATCGTAGAAAAGATACCAGTCATGTTGGGTATTGATGGCCTCTGTTCTACTCCATCACTGGACGGCTGTGAAGAAGGTGAATATGAATCTCCTGTTGAACATAAGAGAAAGAGAAGACAGAGTGTAGGTGGTGAGTATTATTACTATTTGATCTAAGCATGAGGCTTACAAGCTTTTATTTATTTATTTTTTTTAGGCAATTGGGGTTAAGCGACTTGCTCAGGGTCACACAGCTAGTAAGTGTCAAGTGTTTGGTCTGAGGCTGGATTTGAACTCAGGTCCTCCTGACTTCAGGGCTGGTGCTCTATCCACTGCACCACCTAGCTGCCCCTACTTTATTTATTTATTTATTTATTTTTGGCTAGGCAATGGGGTTAAGTGACTTGCCCGAGGTCACACAGCTAGTGGTATGTGTTTGAGTCCAGATTTGAACTTAGGTCCCCCTGACTCCAGAGCCAGTGCTCTATCCACTGTGCCACCTAGCTGCCCCATAAGCTTTTATTATGTAAGATAACTATATTCAGCAGAAACATTTTTAGTACCTTCTGTATGTTAAGGATTGTGGGGATATAAAGAAGTATAAGACATTATTACCTCTGTTGGTATACAATCTAGCTGGAGAGATAAGACACAGACTCTTGGAATTATAGAATTTTTGAGGTGGAAGGAGGACTTATTCCAGACTCCTTATTTTACTGATGGGGGAGACTGTGCTCCATACAGGTTAAGTGACCTGCCCAAGTTGTCACATAGCTAATGACAAAGACAGAACCAGAATGTAACTCTATAGAGTTCCAGTTACAAAAAGTTAAAAATACCAATATGAACAAGTGTAAGATTGTGTTAAATGACTAGTGTAGTTAAAAAGTGCTCTTGGCTTGAAGAGGAATGAATTGTTAAGGAAGGCTTATTGGAATTTTATCTGGATACTCAAAAATTAGTAATATCTGGTTTGGATGAGGAAATCTAGGTGTGGTAGGGCAATGATATATGTGGGAGACAATGGGTAGACTAACTTTCTTTAAATGAGTATTTAAGTAGAGGAGCAATAAGGCATGAACTTAGAAAAGAAGACTGAGGACAGATGGTGGAGAACCTTTGAACGCTAATCCAAGCAATTAGATTTTTTTATGTAAGTAATGGATATCAGATTCAAGGTTTGATCAAAGTGGTGATGTAATGGAAATGATATTTTTGGATGATTCTCTAGCAGTACAGAGGGTTGTTTTTAGACCAGAAAGACTGGAAAGGAATTGAGGAAGACTTTTGGATTAATCGAGGTGTGAAATAGTAAAAGCCTGGCCTAGATTGGTAGCATTAAAAAACGGAGGAATAGATAAAAGATATATTATAAAGAGTCAGTAAGACTGCAGTCCTTTGTAATACAATTTTTAATAAAGTCAAATATATTTTATAACTCATAACTTAAAGTTGGAAGGGACCCTAAAGATCATCTAGTCCAATTTTATTTGCAAGCAAACCGTTTTTTTAGGATTTAGGATGACAAAAAGTCTAATTCTTTTCCTTTTGGTAGATTACATTTTCATAGATTAAACCCCAATAAATCACACAGATCAGGCAAGACCAAAATAACACATATATATATTCTTTCAGAGAAATTTTAGCTCAACACAGACATATAAATCCAAAACAGCTTCTTTCTATTTTTAAAGGTAGAAGGATTATATATACCAAAATGCCAGAGCTAGAGGTCAAGCCTAAAAGCTAGATAATTTATATGCATGGTGCCTGACACTTAATAAATAATAAGTGCTTAATAAATGATTTTTTGACTGATATACAGAAAGAGCAGATCAACGTACAGATAAAAACCCTGGGACGATACACAGGAAGGAAAATGGCATAATTAAGTAGATTGGATCATTTTGTATCTCCCTCCTTTCCACATGATTCCCTTATACCTTCTTCCCTAGGTGGAGCAAAAGGAGCTCTTTATTGTCTCCAGTACCAATAAAGATGCTTTTAAGTGGACTCTAAGATTCCTTTTACCTATGAATTATATGCGTCTATGAAAATTTATTTTGTCCTGTTACCAACTTCACTGCAGTGACCTATGGTCCTATTGCCTATTTTTTTGTTATCCTTTATGTCCATTTTTTTTTTTCTTTTTTCAGTG